TAAGCTCCATAGTCAATCTGAGCCTTAATGTTTTTTCCACAAAATATATAGATCTTAATAATATTTACTTTACATGGTTGATCTAAGAATCAAATAACATTATTTCTGAGAAAGCATTTAACCATAAATACGGTAAAATCATCAAAGCCATTTAAGAACATATATGTTATAGTAACATCATACATCTTGCAGCAGAATCCAGAGCACAGGAAATCGTTAACAGGAGGAGGAGGTGATAATCTGGCGAGGCTGGTATCATCCTCTCATTTGTTACTGACTTGTTGGATAACCTCTCTAATGGAGATGCCATCTTCTGGGGACATTCATGTCTACCCCACTCATAAACGTGTAAGAAAAGTTAAGTAACGTAGATGAAGTTCCCTGAGATCTTCAAAATTCTGCCTCACACGGAAACATGTTAGTTGTCCCTGAAGCCGCAGATGTTGTATGAATGCAGCATGTCCCCCAGTAGGCAATCCCTCCTCCCAGTTGGCCCCACAGTCCACACTGGCCCCCAGGATCACACCCTCAGCACTGGAGAAAGGCTGGCAGGGAGTCACCCCAGCCATATCTCGGGGGCTTAGGCCTCCCTTCAACTAGACCTCTCCAGTGGAGAGCAGACTCTTCAGCCAGTGAAAGCTCTCTGCGACTTTGTGTGAGCACCCCTCCATTCTTGCCACTGAACCTTTCCCATTTTCTGTTCCCACCTTGACATTCTCCATTCAGGGACTCCTTCTGCTTTCCTCGCCGGCGGCCACCTTCCCCAACCCATACTTTCCTCTTCCTTCCCTGCTACCTGCCTTCTCCCCAAGCTCCCAGTCTTAGTTTTCTGGCCCCTCACCAGACTCACCTGAAGAGGAGGGAGTTGTGCTAGAGCAGATGATGGAGAGACCAAGAGAATGGGAGAGACAGGTGGAAACAGTGCTTCTGAAAAACATCCCACCAACAGCATTCACTGTACTTTCTGCAAGCCAGGAGAAGCCTGATTAGAATGAGAAAGAATCAGCAGAATTAGTGGGTTCTTGCTGAGCCCCCCACTACAGAAGTCACTATTCAGAGTTGGGGTGTCTCAGCCCAGTCGGATATCTTTTACTTGAACTTTGGGCAGGCCCTCTGTATCTACAAACCTAACAAGATGTCTCTTCTTTTTTTTCTTCCTAACTTGTCAGTCTTGGTAGAGTGTCAGTGCTGGTCCACGAGAAGGAGTTGAAAAGAGGCTCTTTAGAGAACAGGCATCAAAAACTGGAGAGAAGTATCTGCATTGGCCACTCCCTCCACACCGTTGGAATTGTAAAGGACACTGCTGCCCCTTTAGTTTATCCCCTTGCTGTGCTGTTATCTTGGGCTCCAGAGCTCAGTTGTCACCTGCTCAGAACCCCTCTGTCAGAGCTACTTACTAATATTTCATTCATAGTACCGCTGCTTTGATTAGCATATGTAACTGAGAGCAGACTATACCCTTAACTCAGAATCACATAGCTGTAATATAATTACTTGCTTTATTGATTATCTGAAAGTTGGTTTTTTTTAAATCCTGAGTTGGCTTCCCCGTGTAATGCAAGTTATTTCTCAGTTGGTTTCATTTATCATCAGTTCCTTTCTACTGAAAAGAACAGTTGATTTTTTGCCTTCAGATGATCTGTGCTAAGTGCTTTATCTCTTTAATTTTCAAAATACCTTCATAAGACAGATACTTACTGTATTATTCTCAAGTTACAGATAAGGAAACTGAGGCTTATAGAGGTTAAGTAACATACCCAAGTCACTCAGCCAAGGAAATGGAATTCATATCTGACTCCCACATCTGTATAGCCCAAAATGGAGCGGTTTAAAGTGAAAGAGCTTATATGACCTCCTCCCTTATGTTATAATTCTAGTGTCTGCTTTGGACTTCGTGTCTCTTCCTAACGCAACGATGGACTTGCCATTCCTGGCTATAAGCTCAGACCTGAAAAGCCATCCACTTCCACTCATCTTAACTCTTCAGTTCTCCACATTGAAAGCAACAATTAGCAGACCTCATCTGTTTCACATATAATGTTGAAAGCCCTTTTGGGGTCCCTATAAGCAATATGGAGGAAAATAACAAGAAAGAAAAATATTAACATTTCTACTGAGTGATACTGTTTCAAATCCACACATACGTATAAATGAAAGTTGTGGCTGCCTGATTAATCTGAAAATAAGCCCCATTTAGTAAGACAGTTCTTGAAATACCTACGCTCTACCAACACAGCACCTTAATAATTATAGAGAGCGTTTTCCTTTAAGGAGCTCCCAAGCGCTTTGCAAACATTTTTCCTCATTAACTATCATACCATTTTCTGTGGCAGGGAAGGGAACAGGGTACTTTGTCCTATTTAAAATGTGGGACTGCTAATGCAGTGAGTGATTGAAGCAGGTTGCCCTCAGGTCATGTGCTGACAAGGCCTAGGCTAGAGTCCTCAGGGGTTGTGGGTCAGGATGGGCAGAAGGCCACTAAATCTGCAAAGGGCCATGGCAAGTGCTTGGTCCAGCTCCTCACTTTCAGAAGGGGGAACGAACCCAGGGAGACTTAGAAAGCCCAGGGTCATGCAGATAATGAACAGCTGAACCAATACTACATGCATGCAAACAGCATACAGATGTATGCTATGAAGGGGAAGATAACAACTGTGAAGAATCCATTTATAGTCAGATTAGAAGGTTGTGAAAGCAAAAAGCCTTCAGAGTGACCTTGCCTAGAGGAAAAACACACTGTAAGAAGGTGAAAGTTTCAAACAGCAAGAGCATTTTAACATAAAGTTTCAACTTCCTAGCAGCCGAAACACCATCTGGAACTTAAGAAGGCAAGCTGCCCATTAAAGGTGACAGGTGGATAAGTTTTAAAAGATAGTTGACCAGCCTATCGTAGCCTCTAGAAAGTACACTCAAAGCACATAGGTGGCAAAGACCAACTGGAGTTCAAGCATGTTTACAGCTGACAGCAATGTTCCAGCTAAAAATAACACTCATGACTCTCTCTCTCTCTTAGGGAATCTCTCGTTTCCAAAGAATGTACCTACACAAACACCATACATAGCCTAAATGCATCATTTGGGAATGAGACTTCCCCAGATTCACCCGTTTGTCCAAAAGTGAACTCCTTCTCTTCTAACCCTGTGATGCTACTGACCATACTGTCCCATCCATGAGAATGAAAGGAAAGAAATCAGAGGAGTTGAGAGGAGAGAGAGCTAGACCAAAACGTTTGTGAATAGCTAAGGGAAAAAGAGTTCAAAGACCAATGACATTGGTTAAGAAATTTGTGAAGGGATTCCTGAACAAAACTGCCATTTCTTACCATCATGTGCTTCAGAACATATCCTTTTATGTTTACAAACACAATGAAAAAAGGTTTCTGATGAGATAAAGTTTCATAAAACAGATCATGAAACACTAACACTGAGCCTGACACATACTAAGCACCAAATACATGCTGATTATTTTCATTGCCATTATTACCATGACACCTCAAACCTCTTCTGCTTCATAATAGGAAAAATGGAAACACAGTCAAGGCCTATGTTTTAATTGGAAGTTAACTCAATTTTAAGAAATAGATTTCCTACCCTGATACATAGTCCAGATGTTGAACAATGACCCTAGAGAGGTTCAAAGGCTTTGGGCTTTACTCTGGGTTATGGAAGAGTACAGAGGACCTTCTTCTCCAAGGTGGGTGCCTCCACTAGGCAATCAATAATGAGGTGGGACAGATGGAAACACCCTAATGCATCTCCTCTCACTTGTCAAGAGCAGTTAGTACCAACCAAAACAAGACCCTATCCAAAGAGATGTCACAGGCCCATAGACATTACTTATAGAGGAATACTTCATATTGTCAGTTAATAACAATAATTTTATTTACCTTACTCTTTTTCACAAGCTTGGACGTTTGGTTTCTAAGCCAACAGCAAATCAAAGCAGTAAACTGAGGAGAAAGAAGGGTTTCAGCCAACAGACTGAGAACAAAGAAAGAGAAAGCTATTTTTTAAATTGACCTGAGAGTTCAAAAATGCGTATGGAACCATTTAATTGGGACCGGGGGGGAGAGGATAGTTTTAAAATAAGAATACCATGCAAGTGTTCCCACACCACCCTTGGTGGTCTGCAAAGTGATTTCATATGTATTTATGTCAACACCAGCACAGTGAGGTAAGTAGGACTGTATACCTCAGAGGCATTTGGAGATTTGTCAGAGTATCCATGCCGAGGGTTGGCGCCTGGATTTGAACAGGACCATTTGACTCTGAGATCATTGTGTTGTCCACCATCTACTCAACCTCCACACCAGACAAGGCCAGTCCGCAGCTCAGGGCACTCAAGACGGAATAGCCAGTTAACTCTACTGTTACATTTCGGGAAGATTTCTCTCTAAAATAAATAAAATTAAGAGCATAGCTCTTCAGAACGACTTGCTCCTATGTTGGCCAGTATTTCCCAGACCTATCATGGCAAAGTGCAATTACTAGGCAGAATACTGGAAATGGAAACTATCCCCAAAGAGCCAAGCTATGTAACCACTGTCCTTAGTTTCTAAAGATTCTAAAGAACCTGAATGCTTCCAAGATCTTTCGTCTCTCTTATTCCTTACATGGGTTTGATAAAATTAATGGGAAGTACACAGTTAAATCCACACATTAACCATGATGCCGAAAATGACCCCGTAAATGTAGCCCTCCCTTTTCTCCACAGAATGACCTTTGAAAACCTGTGGTGGGTAGTCTCTTGTAGCTTTCCAAGAGAGCTGTTTTCTGGCATGGGGAGGTGGAAGACTAGCCTGTCCTGGCATCCCCCGAAAGCAAGGAGAACACGAGAGGCCAGGAAGGACTGGATCTTTCCAATCAAGGGTGAACCAACCAGATTTTTTTTTAATTTTGTTTTTGTTTTTGTTTTTTGTCGTCTTGTTTCTCTGTCTCTCATTCTCCCTCCCTTGCTGTGTCTCGCTCTGTTCCGCTTGCTGTCTCTTCCCCCATTGACAGGTGAGAAGCCCCACCAATGCAGCATCTGTTGGCGCTCCTTCTCCTTAAAAGATTACCTTATCAAGCACATGGTGACACACACAGGAGTGAGGGCCTACCAGTGCAGTATCTGCAACAAGCGCTTCACCCAGAAGAGCTCTCTCAACGTGCACATGCGCCTCCACCGTGGGGAGAAGTCCTACGAGTGCTACATCTGCAAAAAGAAGTTCTCCCACAAGACCCTCCTGGAGCGGCACGTGGCCCTGCACAGTGCCAGCAACGGGACCCCTCCCGCGGGTACACCCCCAGGTGCCCGCACTGGCCCCCCAGGGGTGGTGGCCTGCACGGAGGGGACCACTTACGTCTGTTCCGTCTGTCCAGCAAAGTTTGACCAAATCGAGCAGTTCAACGACCACATGAGGATGCATGTGTCTGACGGATAAGTAGTATCTTTCTCTCTTTCTTATGAACAAAACGACAGAAAAGAAACAAACAAACAAACAAAGCTATGGCACTAGAATTTAAGAAATGTTTTGGTTTCGTTTTTACTTTCTGTTTTTGTTTTTGTTTCGTTTCATTTTGTACTACATGAAGAACTGTTTTTGCCTGCTGGTACATTACATTTCCGGAGGCTCGGGTGAATGAGAGTTCTCCCAGCCTCCCTCGGATGGTGGCCTTAAGGCCTGGTAGTGTTTCAAGAGGTCCACTGGTTGGATCTCTAGCTACTGGCCTCTAAATACAACCCTTCTTTAAAAAAAAAAAAAAAAAAAAAAAAAATCTTTAAAAAGAAAAGTAAAAAAAAAATTTTTTTTTCACTTGTGAAGAGCACTACAAAAATATATAACAAAATCTAAAAGGCCTACTGTCTTTAAGTACACCGCTTGCAGTGTTTCAGTGGACATTTTCACAATTCTGGCCGCTTGGACTTCACAGTAACCAGTCAAAACTGTGGAATATCACTTCTGGTTGAAAACCCAGAGGAAAGGCCCTGCTGTTTTCCACCTACCACATTGTCTGATTTCGTAAAAGGGCTGGGGGGGTTGGGAAGGGGCAGTGGGTCCAGTGGTGTGGGGAAGGCGAACGGCAGGCTTCTCCCCCAGATTCTGCTCACGTCCACACACCCTGGCCCACCTCCTCCATGTCCCCCTCTTTCAGCAGAAGCCAGGAAGACTTGGACAAGCATCAAGCAACAGTGGCTATATCGTATTTATTCAGTGTCTTCGCTGAGCCACAGCCTCAGCACAATCAAGAGGGACTTTCATGAAAGGCAGGAATGCAGATAAAACAAAGATATCAGAGGTTTGCACCTACGTTTCTAGGTACAAGAGAAGGATTATTTCCCACAATCTTTGCAAAAAACAAAAACAAAAAAAAAAGTGTCAGGATATATTCTTGTGGAAGAGAAAAAGAAAGAGAAATGGAGGGTGGGGGGAATAATAAAAAGTTCTTGAGGCTTTTTTAATTCAAAATTTTATAGAGGGGCAAAAGTGACGTTTACCAGATAGAATGCTGATTTTTTTAATATATTTACAACAGTATTTGTGTAAAAAAAAAAACAAAAAAAAGTGAGATTGTTAAAAGTAATTTTTTTTTTCATTTTGGTTTTGCATACACTGCCACCAGTCCCTTCTCTTTTATTTTATTTCACACACATATATATATTTTTTGGTTAAGTCAAGACTGTTAAGGTTAGCGATACTGCTTCCAGATAGAAAGAATAAAAGGCAATTAAAGTTATATTTGAAAGAGAGGAAGGATATTTTCTTCATATTTTTTTTATTTTTTCCTTAATTTTTATTATTTTAAGTATTGCCTGGGTTGATGAGGGCCTCTGTGGCCAGCCCATCCCTGCTGTAATTTGAACTGCTGCTTTGTATTTTGATATGTAGTTCTTTGACTTTTAGCAAGCTTAAGTTGCTCCACTGACTTTTTTTTTTTTCCAACTGATCCATCTAGAATTCTGTTCTTTTTCATGGGAGGACTTTATCTTTCAGAAACAGATTTCTTGCTTCTCTAAAAGTTCATTGAGGTCTTATGATTCTAGAATTTGTCTCGACTTTACTTCTTGTCTTGAATGAAACACTAGTAGTCTAGAGGTCGTGACAAATGGGTTTTCCTTTTGTGGTCAGCCAGGAGGATGAGTTCATGCCTCCTCACCCTTCACAGCTGCGGAGAGCAGAAGCCTGGTAGAGATCAGGATGCCTTGATGCCAAAATTACTTTCTTCCTTTCAAATACCACCTTCTGACTATTGCCACCATGGTTGAGAGGGCTAAATGAGATGATCCTCCTTTAGAGGATATATTAACCCTTGCTTTTTGGAAAGGTTTTAAGGAAATTAACAAAAATTTCTCGGATACCAACATCCATCATTCAAAAGGCCACCAGTTCATTGCATCATCCTAGATGCCACTCTCTCTTCCTAGTTGGGATTTCTCTCCTCGGTCCTGATCAAAGTATTGTAATAGGGATTTTTCCATTATAGACAGTGTCCTGAAGGGATTCCAACTCAAATATGAGAATTCTTAAACCTAACAAAAACTCCAAAGGTGATTTTATTGCTGGGCATGTTTTAACACTCTTAAGGGGGAAAAGTAAATCTTTAAACAAAGCAGAAACACCAAACTGTAACTTTAAAAAAGAAGCAAAGACAGAATTTTAGTTTCAAAATTACTTTGCATTTTAATTTTCCTGTAAGCAACTTATTTGCAAAACTGTGTAACAAATGAGGAGAAATCTTCCAAGGGAAGCAACTCTGTAGTGACTAAATTGGTTTTACTCATATATTTTAGATATTGGTTAACTTGGATCTTTTCCATAAGTTCTTGGTGATGTTAGTAGGGTTAGTAGGGTTAGTGCAACTGGAGTACATGTGGGTTGTATTTGGTCCTCCGGTAATATAATTTGGTAAATATTTTGCTAGAAGTTTAATGTAGACTTGGATGGCTAACTGATTATTGGGTATCACTCATCGTGATTTCTAAGAGGAGTCCTATCAAGAACTATGTGTCCAAAATTGACCTGTTTTAAAAGTTAGTGGGAAACAGCTTCAAAACTAAGAAAAAGTCCATTTTTCTCTTGCTAATTTTGCTTTTTAAAATAGCAGTGTTTTAAGACTTTAATATTTCCACTTACCACCAACAGAGGGAGCATTAGTTAATTAACCATGTCCTGGGATTATTTTGAGATCCTGAAAAACAAGCCATTCAACCCATGATATAAAAAAGAAAAAATTGACATTAAGGAAAAAAGTTGTTTAATCTAGAGGAAAAATGACATAAAATCCCTCAGCATATATTACAAATGAAGGTGGCCAAAAGCCACTTTAAATTATTTTCAATTCTTTGACAGTAGCTGATTTAAGATAGTGTCCTTATTCCAACCTTCACAAAGTAGGCAGAATTTATAGTACCTCTAGAAAAGTTGATCTTGGGTGCCATTATGGGCCACATTTAGCTATCTGCTTCTCAAATCAGAGGGAAACCCATTTGCCTTAATGTTGATTTGGCACGTGAAAAGTGAAGCAATTGGGTTAAAATAAAATCCACATTTTGTTATAGAACACGTAGAGGAAAAAAATTCCAGTTGGGTTTGAAACACTAATATTCATCCTTTCCCTTCAAATGAAGTATTTCTTTTTAAGAAATGTTGGAGAACTCCCAAAAAATTCTTGGTGAGGTGATGCAGTCATTATAACCACATGGACTATCCAGGTTTGCAAAGCAGTAGACTTTTTCTTACCGTATGTCTATTCCTCTCAAACATTCATAGTCTAAAATAGTTGACAGACTTGTTCTCTGGAGAGAGGGAGAAGCTAGACTGCAGTGGAAGGTCTAATCTGGGGAGCAGTGAACTTGCTGTGGAGTCATTACTATATGTTCTGACCTCCTGAAAGGGCAACTTTCCCAACTGATGTAAACCGGACTGGACCTATTTCAGAAGGATAGAGGTGCTTTTAGATTGCCAATCCTTACTTTTCAATTAAATAATTACCAACACCTTAGGAAATGGGGAAACATTTTTTGCTTCAAGAATAGAGGATGAACATGAATCCTTTTATTTTTTTAGTTTCAAATCCAACAATCTTCTTACATTTAGAACTTCATGCTAGGATGCTATGAGTGCTAAAAAAAAATTTTTTTCGGTAGTCAGGGGAAAAAAATAGATAAAATGGAAACAAATGTTCCAGATTTAAGACCTCTTAGGATGAATACAGGGAACAAGAACTGGTTTGGAAAAGAACATTTTTTTTAGTAATTTATGATTTAAAAGTGGGTTAGCTGAACAAGGGAAAGGAAAAAAGTCAAAGGGGAATATTTATGTCAAGACGTTTAGATACAGTTTATGAAAAATAAAATTTCCCAGCCCTGAAAACATTGGTAGCATCCCAGCGTGGTAGGCAACTTTCCCCCATTACTATAATAAATGCCAATATTTGTACTAAAAAAAAAAAAAACCCGCAAGTGGTAAAATATGGCCCCTCAAAAGGAAGGAATTGGAACAGATGAATCTGATACAAATCTACACATGGGAAAAGATTAAGAAACAAGCCAGGCAAAAATAATTTGAAATGAAAGTCTTGATATCAAAATGGTTTTTACTATATCTTTTAATTGAGTTGTAAACTTTAGCTCTTGATAATAGTGTATAGACTTTCTCCTGCCCAAACTCCTAATGCTCTGAAACTGTGCCATGAGTAAGTGTGGTGGATAACTTCCTTCTCATGTTCCAGCTTTAGTCCATTCCTTCTTCATAGGCATCTTGGAGGTCACAGTAGCTCCCAGGCTTAGAAGAAAAGACTTGGATTTGCTTTGTTGAAAAGTCATGGGTTTTATTTTGTATCATCCCAATATTCTTTAAGGACCAAGAAAACCCTTTGGAACCCATGAACAGTTACAATTTGTGCATTCTGATAGGAGAAGAAAAAAGATTTCCTCCAGGTGGGAGAAGAAAAGATTTTCCTCTATGTGTCAAGTAAGTCCTAATGCCTTGACCTACATGTACCTCAATCATACAAGCACACCAACAGTGTGTGGCCAGCCCATACATGCCCCAAATCTGTTTTCCCTCAGCAGTTCCCTCAAATGAGGCATGCCCCTTATAAAAATCCCTCAGGTCCCCAACAGAACATAAGTTCCTGTTGCTTCCTAGATGTGCTTCCTCCATAATGCTCCCAACACCTGTTGCCTTTAGGAAAGGGAGCAGTGAGGTAGACCTGGCCAGGATTCATACTCAACACGCCCATGCAGGAGCCTTCCTCTGTTGTTATGGAAGATGTTATTTAATTAGCTAAGGCTGGGAGCAGAGGATATGTGATTCTGCAGCAAAGGTATCACATAACCAAATCAGGTCTGCCTCTGCTATGCAGAAAGAACCAAAATGAAGGTACAGTGTAAGAGCAGACACAACCTGAGATGCCCTTGGGGTTTGGGAGAAGGGAGGGTGCCCTTTCTGCTGCGACCTGACTCTTAAAAGAAACCCCCTGAAAGAATTCTTTAATTTAGTAATGAGTTGAAGTCCAGGGTAATGGAAGCCCTGGGGAAGAGAACAAAAGGACTGCAAAGTGTATTCAGCACCCAATAATGCGAAACCAAAAAACATCCAATCGTAACACTAGGAAGTTTGGCAAGAAGTATTTAGAGAAATCTCTGGGCTTTCCATGGGTAGTAGGGTCGACAGACTTTCTTTTGAGTGATTTCTGGCTCTGAGAAACCTCTTTACTCACTAGAAAAGAACTTTCTTTAAATGGCCAATTTTATCCCCCAGAAAAAGAAATTTAAAAAAATAAAATAAAAATAGGACACTAAAGACAGAACCATGTGACCCGGTAACAAACAAAAGGAAGGGTGCACTAGAACTTCAATAGGCTCCCTAATTCCATAGACAAAGCAAGGCAACCCAACGCCTCTCCCTCTGCAGTGCTTGAAGAGAGCACTTGCGCTGACCCAGCCACCTGGGGCTTTCTGAGGCTCCACATAACTTCCCCACTGGGGTGGCGGCAGCCCCTTTCTCTTCGTGTTGACATGAAGAAAAGGACTATTCTCTTAGGTGCCCAGGAAATAGATTGCATGGGGCAAACTTTCAAAAGCTATCTCTACCCTGGTGCTCAGGCAGCATATGGTGACAGAAGAGGGGCACAGAAGAGCTCTTGCTCTCGAGTGAGAATATTCTCGTATCCCCAAGGGCTCTCCGTGTGAAGTTGCCATTTCTAAGACCGCTTAAACCTCCAAGAGGAAAAGCTGTGGTGACTCAGTGTTCGTATAAACACAAAACGTGGAAATTACTAACCCAAAGCATCATTTCTAGCACTAGGGATTAAGGTGATCAGCCTAACCAAAATTCCCCAAAGATTTTTCTAAGTCTCCGAATACATGTTTGTTTTTTCCCTCGAACACTGAATCCATAGTGGTCAGCGGTGTACGTTAACAGATCCCAGAAAATGGTTTGGAACACCAGGGTTTGTTTTCAGTTCTTTTTAGGATGAAGAAATAGAGAATGAGTGTTGCAGAGCACGGGTTCTTTTTTGGAACTATGTATTTCACTGAAAAAGCAGTAAAATGCCCCAGGTTGAAACAACAGACTGCAACCCCTGGATTCCAGTGGTTCCTCAGGCCCAGTCTATTGCTCCATAAACTCAGTCCCTTCAGACTAAAATCTCATTTGAAGTGACCTCAGTTGAGGGATTTTCACCAGAAGCCACTTATAGTAAAGAATTATTGCCTTAAATCAGAAAGCCCAGGGAAGAGAACAGAGGACAGAGAGGTTGGAAGGGTGTGAAGACATAGACATTTCTTGTTTTTAGTGGTTGCATCGTCATCAAAATGAGCCCTCTTCATGAGTGAAGATGATGGAAATAGTGGCTTTGCAGGGATGCATCACACTTGTCTGGAACTGACAGTTCTCAGGAAGTGGTTGCTCTTTTTTCATATCCTATTTCAGTGACAGAGGTCTGGGCTGGGTGTAAAATAGGCATCATATTAGTCAAAGAGTAAATCCCATAAGACATGATCACAGGTGCCTGGGATGCCAGTTTTCATCATTTCCTTCATAGGGAGAACAGTCTCTAGAAAAACTTTCTTTCCCTATACAGTATATATTTCTAAACTCAGTTTTCCTCAGTTTTCGTGAGCATCTGCTTTATCTGGTGGTTCTTTGTTTAAATGCAAACTCACAACTTTCAGTCAAATCTTCAAGGAAGGAGCATACTCTGCAGATCAGAGAGGAAATCTAGCCACATTTGCTGGGGGTCCTGGCTTTTGAGATACCTGATTAGGGTATAAAAAGTTCCTACTAGCCCTCTTTCAAATTCAGGGCTTTCCTTGGTTCAGATGCCTCGATGAGATTCTGATATACCTAAAATAGAAAAAAAAAAAAAAATTAACCCCGTCGGAGACATCTGTTTCTACTACTGTTACAACAGAAGTTCATTATTGCCCAGCAAAATCACTGTAATTTATATGTAGATTCCAGTAATGAAAAGGACTTAACCCAGCTAATATGTCACAGCTGCTGTCCAAAATGTCCAGAAATGAGTACCCGTTCTGCATGTACACACGCTGTGTGAGGTGCCCTCAGTACAGAGCTGTTCCACGTTCATATTCCCCAGTGAAAAGATAGATTCTGGAACTTCTAGCTAGTCTAAGGTCTCACATATCTCCTGGCTGTTTCTGCTCTGTTGCCTTAGTTGGGTCCGCTATCTGTGAGGAGGTTCTAGGGCATTCTGAAGGAGCTCAAGCATTTCTATGTACCCGTTCCATGAGAAACTTGAATATGCCGTGTGGAGGAGAGTGCACTTAACGAACTCTGCACTTCTGCTAGATTGACTGGCATGTGTGTATGTGTGTGTTTGCATTGTGTACTTGTAGTCCGGGAGTTTGTGTGCCTCTCAAAGGAAGCACACACAGGCATAGGTCCTGGTACATAGATGCAGTTGCCTCTTCCTACCGTTGTGCTCAAGACTTGTGGCTCCCTTCCCAGGAAGCAGTCACCTGCCCACTCTGTTGCTTTTCGTAGCATTTCAGAGTTGGGAGAAACAAAGGCAGCTTGTTGGATCCACAGCAATCCTACAGTGACAGGATGTTTTCCTCCAGAAGAAGGTAGACCATAAGTACTCAAGTGGCAAGCAGACAGAGAGAGCAGCAGTTCTGGGGCACCTCTCCAGGTCTTCTGGGGAGGAGGAGCACCGAGGCCAGGGAGGCAAGGCCTGCACAACCTTTGATCTGAGCCAGTCCATGGCTGAAAGGCCTCCATCACTCTCCTCTATGCAACCCAGAGTGTGCCCACAAACACCTGCTCAGCTGTAAGTTTCACGTCCACACTAAAGCTTCCCGATCCTGCCTGTACCTACAGGACGTCATCATAATTCCAAACTGTGTCTCCTGACACCAGTGTGGCCTTTGCCCAAGTCTTTCCAGGAGTGGGTTGTTTACCATGTCTAGCAAACCAGTAGACTCTCGGGGGGAATCATTTCTAGTAATCTCTAAGAATTGATGGCTCTGGCCCGTTTCACACAGTAAAGTAGAATGCCGCTCTGGCATACTACTCTGAACAAATGGACCTGGCTCTCGCAGCTGACCTTAGAGAACGGCCTGGAAACAGTCGGATTCAGTTTGCTCACTCCCATGCCCTTCTTTTACTAGGTGGTTTATTATTTTTTTGTGACACATAGACGATTTCTGCTAATTTACAGAATTCAGAGGACATTTTCTTTCCTCTTCTATTTTGGTGACTTTCCCCCTACCCCATTAAGCAAGGCTACTTACAGTTAGAATCTTTTCATTGTTATTATTTTTAAAAATGTATATTGTCTTTCTATATCCAAAAGAAGTCTGTGACTGTAACCATAGGTATTTCTTTTTACTGGAAAAAAAATGAGTTTGTTGTTTTTTTGTTTTTTAATTAACAGTACTAGTGACTTTGTGGAAGAACATGAGTTACATTTAGGTATGCTTACTTAAGTACAGTACACTACATTGCAGTATTTCTGAAAGCTAGAACATACACATTATATATAACAACTCTATATTAAAATATATATTACATTATATTCATTTTTAACTTTTGAATCTGCCTATGATCATGAGTTGATTGAAATATTATTTCTTTGCATTTATCACCCATCACCAACTTGCTGCGGTTAATCTGGTGCATTTAATAATAATCATGACTGCTCTAGTTTGCTTTTTATATTATCAGCTCAGTATTGTCTTTACAGGATTTTAGAATTTTTTTAAGCTCAAACTTAGCAAATGTAGGAAAGTGAAAACATTTTTTAAGAAAACATTTTTTTTTCTGGTGTGGCCAATACAAAGAGGTTCATATTCAAAGTGATCTTGTTTAGCTGACCCTCTCAATATCTGAAGAACAAAAGAAGTGCATATGAATGTATCTGTGATTTTCCCTTTTAGGACTGTCACTGTCTATATTTGCTTTGGAAAATATGTCCAAGGGGCTGCTTAACCTGCATATGATCTGACCAAAAATTACAGGCTGCCACTCAAAGGACTGCTCATCTGAGAAGCTAAGGGAATGAAATGCCTAGCTGTCCCAACTGGATTTTCAAACATTGATTTTCATTGTTCCTTTACGGACTACTTTCTGTTTTCAATGTGCTCTACGATTATTTTAACTAGTCTTCAATGCTCCCCTGGAGGCAGCTTGGCAATATAACATTCATTTTCCTAGAAGATTTTCTTTCTTAAATAAAACCGGAATTTGAGGAACTTTTTCATGACAGAGGCTGATAGAAATAGAACCAAGAAATAGAGAGCTCATTTTTTAGCCCACAGAATCCACAAAATGGTGGCTCTTGGGTCTCTGGCCCTCTGTATCTCCATTGGTCTGTGAAAGTGGGGATTTGGTGCCTTTATTCTTTAGCCAGGCCATCATGGAAACTTCCGAAATCAGGCATCCTATCTTCCTAGCAAGAAATATTTTCAAGTAGATAAAGAGTTTCCTCGGCTTCCCTTAGCTACCCAGTGCCTGGAAAACTCCATAGTTGGATAAACTTTACATCCATCCTGGAGACCTAAAGCCAGGTTCATTCTCTCAGTTCTCCCTTCGGGACAAAATGACAGCGATTGTTTACGATACTCAGTGTGAAAGCCCTTCCCACACTGGACCAATATTAAGGCCTCTCAGTATGAATAACACCAATTCTTTCCTTTCTTCTCACCTAATAGATTTTTATTTCCAAATCCCATCCCATTCTGCTGTGCTCCCCCAAGCCCTGCGCACAAGTCTTTCCTAACCTCCTCTTATTCAAGCTCCCAGCAGTGCCCTCCACTTGCGAAACCTGGTAGACTTACTCCAGCCTACTTCGAAGGGGCTAACATTAAGTCTAGTAGCAAAATTAGGAATCTGTTTCTCCATAGTTTTCAACTAAATATATTTCTACAGGACAGACCTAATTGTGAATTGGGAGTCAGTGAGGCTGTTGCTATTCCAGGGATCACAATACCCAGATTGTATCAGTTTCATTATTTTCTTCTTTCCTCTTCCTAACCATGTTCCTTTATTTCTTGTTTCTCTTTAGGACTACTTTAAATTACCTTTTCTTCTCCTCCCCACCTGAGGAACTCGAATACTTATGACCCCTGAGTGCTCATTTCCCTCCCTTCCCCACCCTGTCCTGAATGTTCGTCTCTAAGTTTTGTGTAGCTCAAGAGCATTGACAGGAATCAGCTCATCAACTTGAGACTCGTAGGCAGAGTGAAAAAGCATGTCTTCACTGTACCTTCAAAATTTAAAAGTTATCAATATTCTTTTGAGAGTGGGAGGACCTGAGTCACAGTTTTAAATGTCAGCAGGACTAGTGAGATCATTAATTCCTTTCACCTTCACATTTGGCCAAAGATAAAGAAAAAGTATTTTTTTTCTGTTTTTTTCTTTTCTTTAAATATCACAGTGTTCAAATTTCTGATATGAGTAGACCATTTCTGAGAGGGGGAAAAAAATTCATCAATGTTGACTCTTTCAAGTCCTGCTAATATTTAGCCAAATGACATATTTACCCCAGACTAGATTTACAGAAATCTAACAAAAGAAGTAACATTTTAAGATAATTTTGATAACTGTTCGAGCCTTAGTGAATGCTTTTTAAACAAATTAAACCACTTCCACTAAAGTAGGAGGAAACAACTAGGAAGAATTTTTTCATTTGTTATCTTTCTGAAAAACAAATAATTGTTGATTGATTTAGAACTTTAAGCAGTAATTTAGTGAGGGATGAAAAGATCCATGAAGTGTCTAAAGTGTCTATTTTGCAAGCACTTTTTTTTAATATAAACCATATATATATATATATATAATAGGGCAGACTGGATACTTGAAGGGCCTTGTAATACACTCCCCAGTACCTAAACATTCAGCATATAATTTAGTCATCATGCTAGATTTCATTTCAATGAGTCATAACTGTCTGGTTGCCAAAATGCTGCCCAAAAGACTGATACCATTCTGGATCTGTCCCTTTACAGGATGTTCATAATGTAATACCTTCTTTCCTCACTTCCAGTCCATGACTCTTGCCAAGCTCCTACACTGCCTCTTGGCTCTTATGAAGACAAATTCTGCGGCATTTAGAGTACTACCTGGTTCTAAGTGCACAGACGTGCACTATTTTATTTCTTGCTTTACCCACTGACAAATAGAATCAACATTTAGGATCAGAAATGTATTCCTAATGTGACCAGATGGCTTGACCCATCTCCTGCGTTAATTAAACCAATTTATAACATCAACTCACACCACAGAAAGCAATGAAATAAAGAGATAGTTCAAAACCTTCCTGAGTTATACATCTAGTAGGAAACCAACATTTTGTAAAGCCCGTATTTATGTTGCCTAGGATGGTGATCTTCACTTGGCATGCTTTCCCCCATCAGTCCCATCTTCTTCTCTTTCTTTGTCCGTTCTCCCTCTATCTCTTTTGTAAAAGTACTCTTCATCTAAAGTACTCTTCTTCTCAGGCTTTGGCTTCTGAAACAGTAGAAGACTCTCTTTTAAATCCTGATGACTATTGTTGAAGGTGTAATGTGGAGTAGGAGAGGATCCAGATCTGACAGGTCCCATTTGGTCCAGTTAATCAAAAGGATTTCTCCAGGATGCCTTCTTGACATTGTTCCTTCTGGTTCCCCAAGAAAAGCTCTAACCATGAGACCAGGATTTCTCACCACAACCTCTGCATTAGTCTAGATTAATGTGTAAATCCTGCTAGTATTTGAGAGACTCCAGGATGTGAATTTCTTATTGCCTATGACCCTCCTGCTTTTCTAAACTGACACCTGTCAGGAAGACCAAGAGCCCTACCAGTAACTAATGCAGCAAAATGATGGTCAGAAACATTATAGTACATAATAGGGAGGATAGGAAGAGATTTCTTTCTTCTTTTCCCCCATAAAAAGCTTGCTTCCCCACCCCACCCCACCACCACCACGCATTTCAGAAAGTCTGCATCTCATTTTATAGATATGTAGTTTTAGGATTCGCAAATATAGCTTAGGAAGTGTTCTGAGATTGAAGCTGGTAGCAAACCAGTTTATTTTCTGCACTGGACTTTAGGACAAGTGTGCACAGATACAATTCCTTCAAAGAAAGTGAAACTAATATAGTAAAGCAAAGGGATAATACTTTTACACATTAAAACAGTTGTTTGCTATCTGTAAACCTTGACTTAAGCATAATTATTTTTTTAGAAACCTGCAACTGGAGGAATGTGTATTTTAGTAAAGTTTGTTGTCATTTTGTTTGTTTCCCTTTATCTCTTACTTCTCGAGAGAGTGAAAGATTTTGATTCTTTAATTCGATACTGTCCCTGGCCATAGGTGTCAGTCAAATAATGCCCGCCCTTACCATACTCTTTTCCTTTCAGAATGAGAGCCTTCCCTCCTGCCATTAAAGAGTCTTTTCTCCTTGAAAATCTTATCTTCCTTTTCGGTGAGCATGTGAGAGCTTTGAGGAGAGAGATTCTCTCTGCACTTTGAGGGTAGAATCGTTAAAAACTGTTTCTTGAGAGAAACGCATTTACCCAAACTAACAGGTCTGAGGCCAAAGAGGGGGAATTGATTGCAGAGGAAGGTCATATATTTTACACTACAAATCCTTATTGCCTTCAACTTTTGGAATAAGACTGGGAATAAATTAATTTAATGAAAATCTGCTTTGGATGTTTCTTACTAACATCTAAAGCAGAATACCCAGAAAAGACAAAGAAAGGATGCTACTTAAATGCAAAGTCAATCAATCTATAGATTTCTATAATTATTCAGTTTCTGTTCTACTCATTTCAAAAATATGTGTCCATGAGGTCTTAAATAGAGAAACATCCGATTCTCCATTGCCTCTCATCTCCCCCACCTGGCACCGGAGTTGAGAGTCACAGAGGGAGACTGGCGCCGCATCGCCAGTCCTCCACTCAGCCATACCCCATCGCCACCACAAAATAAGGAAAAACCAAATTAGAAACTTTTTTTTTGAAAAAAGGGAAATTGTAGTGCTTCATTTGAAAGCATACTGTTTTTAACTCAATTTACAGATAGCCTGACAACCTTTTTATAACCTGTCTTTTGTGCTATAATTTGCATTTTTAACTCAATCTTTAAAATAATTGCAATTTCAATTAAGTGAACAGAGGAAAAGCAAAGAGGGGAGACAGGGCAGTGATGGGGCTAAATCTGATACAGTTCTGGATTCAAAAAGCCAGTTTTCAGGGTCACCAGGGAAAGCTAACACCACTCACTCTTTACCACTCTTGTCCATCCTTACTATTATAGTCTTAAGAACTGGTCAGAAAACCTCACTTCTTTATGATTTAAGACTTTTCTTATGTACTGTCAAACCCGTTCAGAGAAATCGTACACACCCTTGATTGCTCCTGTATCTAATCTTCTCTCCAGGACACATGCAGAGAGACCTGAAAATAAAGTGATGGTTCAGATTTGATACAAGATTTAGACATAGTCTAAAGTGCTTTGTGTAAGTTCACTGCCAAAGCGTTCATTGAAAAATAAGGCCAGTTTCTCTACTCCTGCTCTCCTTGGGACAAACTTTGGTTTGGAGACATCTGTGCATAGATTTGTAGGAGAAAATTCTCAAAAGCACTGTCGGCAGTTAAACTCCTTCCTTAGTCCCATTGATTTGAACTTCAGTTTTCCTGACGGGCCTATTGAGAAAGAAATTAAGGGTAACTTTCACACATTGAATGAAAAATGGTTTCTTGCCCTATTGTTGAAAGGACTGTGTTTTCAGAAAAAAAATGAAAGCAGAATTTCTTAGTAATCCTCATCATGGCAAACAAAGGCAAGAAGTTGATAGGATAGAGAAAAACCTATGGTAACTTTATGTTTTAAAGTAATTTGTGCTGACCCCACTGTGCCAAACACCTTTGTTTCTACAATCTATTCTCAACCACGGATTGATTTCTCCTGAGACTTCCAGTATGCATGTGTGGGTTTGAGCAGACACACAGACTTACATTTGGAGAATGGAGACCCGGACAAGCCAAAAAGATCAACTCTTAAGAGTATCAAATACAAAGCATTTGTCCAGAATCACTCAGTTCTGCCGTATCCCAGACCAATTCCAGACTAATCTTAAGCGAGAAGTAAGCTCCATAAGATACCCTACTATGAATGTTTTTTCTTTTTTAAGGAATAATACAAGAAGAGGTACAATGCAGATTCTTAATTTGGGTGTAATTATAATTCACTTTTATATTTAATAGTTGTACTTTTTGTGTGAGTGTGTCATTGAGCTATTTGTACCAATTTTGATCTATCATCCTGAGAGGGGCCTTGAGAATTTCTGCGTGTGTGTATGTAGATCTGTATTTATGTGTTGTCAGAAAACAAAGTGAATAGGGGAGGAACGAACGAGGGGAGGGAGAAGGTGGTCAATGTGAAGAAGTGAGTGCTCCTAGCATCCCTGTTTCTGTTAGGTCAGGTGGCCGCAGCCAGAAGCCCTCCAGGAAGAGTTGATTGCACGATTCTAAAATAAGAGCCCAGCACTGTTAAATTCAGAACCGTGTTTTGGGAAACAGGAAAGTTTTATCTTTTTCTGTACCCATTCTCTTTAGTATCAGAGCCATTTGACAGGATGAAAACCATTCAGTAAAAACCACTACTGACCTTTGCATTAAATAGCTATTTTCCTCTTCTAAATACTACCCCTGGTTTCAACTCATCTACTTCCCTTTATTTTCTGCCTATTGATTTTACATCTTACAGAAGAATACATAGGCACATGCTAGTTGTTTCTCTCTGAGCTGAAACAAACAGGGGCAACAAGAGATGACTCATAGAAGAGTGAGGTAAAGACTGAATTTCCCACTTGTGTGGCACTGGTAACTTTTAGTAAGAACTGTTTAGGGTTGAGCTTGGGTCTGTAATAGGGCTTTTTTTTTTTTTTTGGTTTTTGGGGGGGTTGTTTGTTTTGTTTTGGGTTTTTTGGTTTTTTGTTTGGTTTTTTTTTTTTTTGCACTAAATATGACTGCACTGCATTGCACTACTGAAATGTATTTACTTGTACTGGGAGAGAGTGTGTGAGGTATGGGGAAGAAAGAGGCAGTTATTAAACAGGAAGCATCACAAAAACGGAGAATTATTTCCATTGTGCTTGGTCTTAGCAGGGTTGGTGAGAATCTGTGGAATCTGCTAACTCTTGATCAGGCCCAGAAACTGCCATGCTGATAGGATCTGTTGTCTTATTATAAAGAAGCTGGGCTGGTACAGTAAATTGAAGATGTTTAAGGAAAAGTTTGCCCAGTGTTGTCTCTAGCTAAGCTTCCGGTATAGTTGCAATGGTTAAGGGAGCCAGCCGAGGTGAGGTTGAGCCTTCACCTTGGCCTCCACCACAAAACCCCTTGCTGACGCACATTCCAGTGTGGCAGAGGGCGGTGGCATGCCCTGCTTTCAAAAAAAAAACACAGCTTTGTCTGTATTGGAGATATCCTTTCAGCCTGAGCATGCTTTTCCATCCCTGGGTGAGACCTAGATCAGGCTAACCAAAGAGGAAGGCCATGCACTTGGTAAGGCAGTAAGGGAACAGTGCAATAAACACTGAAAACCAGTGAGGTGAAGGTTTATTTTGAAACAAGCTAGGCCAACTTTGAAATTGAAGGAAGGGTTGGAGAATTGATCAGAACCTACTTACTAGCTGCTCCATCATAGACTATCCTTTATTAAGCAGAAGACCTTAACAGTGCCTAAAAGTTTAGCTTTGAATTTGCTGAATTTTTTCAATTTTTTATTAGATTTCTTTTTATTGCCTTTTTAAACCTGAGAAGTAATTAGTGCATGACAGCTCTTCAGTGACTATTAATAAAAGAATCTTGCACCACAGGAAAAGCAATCAGTTGTGTAGGGCGCAATTACACAAGAGTGAGGATGCTGAAGAGCCCTTCCAGAATCCAAGGTGACAGTTTGGAAGATTCTGGTTCCATAAGAAAGGGTCACAACACATATAAATGGCTAATGTTGAATTTCTCTGAACACTATCACATGTGGGGACATCAATTTGGAAAACTATCAGTTGAGGTCTCTTTCCTAAGATTACAACGTTGATACCTATCTCATTTTCTCTCTCTCTCTTTCCTCCTTAGCATCCACGCAAGTCTACTATTACAAGGTAAAAAATTTGTAAGGGAACTGTCAGCCCTGCGAGTCAGAAAAAAAAAACACCACTTAGGGCTTTCAGAATAATGTAAGCAATCCCTTAAGCACTCAAAGCATTATCTCAGTTTTAAATAGGAAACTCTAAATTCAGAGATCTTAACAGGTACTTAGAGATGTGCATTGCATAAGCACTAAGACGGTATTGACTGCATCAAACCAAAGGTATAGAAAGAAGTAATTGACCTTTTAAGATACATTAACATTAACTGTCCTAGGATACTTCTCTTGAGGCTTTGGGGAAACAGCTTCTTTTGTGAAACTTGCATACCCACTGTGGTTTTGTCACCAAAGATTTTAATCACCAGAGCCTAATCTCCTCACTCCCAGACAAAAAATAATATGACAGGCTCGAGGGGTATGCTTTGGTGGTCAGGGATGACACGTTGGTTTTCATTCCGTTCACAGTGCTATTTACAGGAGACTCGTTATTAGGGGAGTTACTGAACTGTCTTCATGACTTAGGGTTTGGTCAGAGGTTTAAAAAAAAACGGGAAAAAATAAACAGTAGTACCTTGACACTGTAAACTGGTCTTTAATAGAGTCATGACCTGAAGACTGATGGAGAGAAAGAAACTTCCATGGAAGAGAGTGAGCTAAATCACATAGAGCCAAACAAGGATTGTTGGTGAAATGGGGGGCAGCACAGACAACAGAGCGGATCGCTGCTCCTCGTGGCCAGAGCCCACAGCAATGGCCAGAGAGAGAGTCAGACAACTGGCAAGCGAATTTGAGTATTGGAAGAGCCACGATGTGGGTCTCGCTGGGGTTGCTGGAGTGGTTAAAACGGCCACGCCCGTGGCGAGGACAGTGCTGGGGCTGACCTGTTGTCATAGTGCCTTTCTCATAGCGAGTACTCGATTAATAATTTGTTCAGTTAGGCTTTTCTGGACCATTACCCACCAGTCTTCTGAGGAGGTCTGAAGGGATAGTATTCACTTAGGATGAAGGAACAGGATATCGCTCCTGGGATGATGTGATTTGATGATATTTGCACTAGATTCTGAACTCTACTTTAAACTGGAGCAACTGAATGAGAGAAAAACCAAGGATGGTTCAATGTTAAAAGAAACCCAAAGCAGTATTTTCTAACTGATGCCTCTTCTTTTTCTTCTCCTTATTCTTGTTCTTCTCCTTCTTCGTTTCTCTGGAAGGAAACTTCATACTTGCTGATTACCAAGCTCAACTCTTACCAATTCTTTTCCTTCCTATTTTTTTCCCCCACACTGACTCTTCAGTGTGAATTAACCATCAGGTAGGAATGGCTAATGTAAAGGCCATCTGTCATTACAACTTTGCACCCCCTCCTCTGCATCATCGAGGGCATGAGGCAGTGGCGGCGGGGGGCGGGGAGGCTCCTCCAAAGCCACTAGCCCTTAGGAAGGCTGAAAAGCAGAGCTATCCTATGGTGAGCTGAGCTGACACTTATTTGCCCAGAGGATATTGGAGCCTGCAGTTAATCCCAACAAATGCTTAGAAAGAGAAGGAAACCCACGTGTTGAAGAAAAACAAGGAAGGTGGTGCCTACAGTTGGCCTGTTTCCCCTTTCTCCTCTTTCCCACCTCACCCCCACCGCCCCATCGCCTCTGTCAGAATTATATTTCATCTCATGTATTTATGTTACCAGAAGAATTATTTGGTTCCTTGGTTTTTCTCTTTATCAGTGGGCTGGAAACTCTTCCAAAATCAAAAACAGATACCATCAGTGGCTCCCCTGTAGCCTACCAGTTTCTCGAATGCTGTCCACCTGGTCTTGACCCAGTCAACTAAGATAACTCAGAAGCTTTGGCTGGCTCAACCACCTGTCACTTTATTTTCATTTTGTTTTCATTTCCATTTGAATTCTGAGTGATCCTATGGGAAGGTGGAAATCACAGAAAAGGTTTAGAGGCTGCAATTCTAGGGCATAGCTTGTCAAGAGTTTGTATTATCCAAAATATAGCTTTCTACGCCTGTTTTTCTGTTGAATCTGTTGCCCTGATTATAATTTCTATTATATTTGTGGTTATTTTTGTAAGAATAGAGTCCATTTGCTATGTCTATTTGAGTACTTTTTTTCTATTTTCCCCACATGGATGCAGTACCAACCTGTTAATGAAATATCTTTTTATTATATTATTAATATGTAATTCTACTGTAGACCAAAAATATAAAAACAAATTTGCTCGTTCTAAAGATATAAAGAACTAGTGAGTAAAAGATTAAGAGTTGAAGGAAAAGACAGAAGAGCAGTGGTTAACTATGTTGAGTTAGAAATCTAAGAGTAGCCTTACCTATTTTTTAACCAGTGCTTGCCAATCATACCATAGTTGAGATTATATAGTCTTGGCTCCTTCATGCTTATGTTCTATAATTTTTGTCTGTTTGTTTTTCTTTGATGTAATTGAGGTTGCACATCATGCTATTTTTGGCGATGCCTGATTTTATTATATTGTACTTTTATCAGTCATTTCCTTTAGAAGGATGGGGGGGAAAGTTTTATTTCTTTTTTTAATTTAAAATTTGTTTAATGCACTGGAAATAAAATTGGACACATTTCACTGTTCAAAAATTCACAAACAAAACAGAACAAAAACCACAAAGAAAAAACCAGCAACCAAATAAGCAACAGGGGAAAAAAAAAAAAACCTATGAGAAAAACCACCTATTCCTACTGAATACATATACAAAATCTATCTCACACAAAAGAGAAATAACATCAAATAAGAAAGATAAGTCCTAGAAGTTACAATGCTGAAAATATAAAAGACACTCAGTGGGCTCAGTGGGGAGGGGAGACATGGGGCATTCCTTTGAGATCTGAGATCTTGCCATGGTTCCAGCGAATGCCAAAGGGGTTAAATGTGGGAGAGGCATGACTCTGGAAGAAATAAACCCAGCACTTCTGGAACTCTCTATCACCTTTTTATCCTATGCTTGGGCTCCATTTTGATGGGGGGTGGGAAGTGCTATGGTTAAAAAACTGGCTTGTATCGAGGTCTGGGTACAGTACCCAGCACGGTCCTCTGTCCATGTACTACCTCCCATATTTCTTTTCTCCGTGAGGATTTCAGCCGGTGGGCCCACAACACGGGAGGCCATCCATGACTCATTAGAATATCAGCCAGTGCTAAAGAACCTCTTGACTCCAGGCCCACCCCTGTTCTTCAGCATTCCCAGTACCAACAGAGCCACTTAACTCCTACAAATGCACAGTGAGAGGAAAGACAGAGATAATTTGCCTAGCCAAGTGGCTGTATCATTTGTTTAATGTTTGCTGGGTTTTTCTGGTTTTGTCTTGTTTTGGAGTTGGGGTGGGAGTGGATGTAACTACACAATCCTAATACAGTCATTGTTTTGCATTTTCCATGTTTTATGCAAAAACAGACATTTAAATCAATAACTAATTGTGCCCTAGACTGAAAGTTAATGTTTAGGAGAGGAAAAAAATTGTTGGAATTTTTTCTACATTTTTTTGTGAAGAATCTTTTTTGGAAAGGAAGGATACATATTTTTGTTGTGTAATATTTTCTATTTTTGAATGCATTTTATTGGTACAAGACTGTTTTTTTGGTGAAGACATTATTTAAAAAAAAAAAAAGAAAAAAACTAATCGAAAAGTTTGCCCTTAAGGATATGCTGCAGTTTTGAGGTTAAAAAAAAAAAAATAACTGATTCAAGATGCGTGTTAAAAGTTGGGATTATATTGTTGTTTTTTGTAATTGTTACAAGAAGAAGTTTGTACCCACTGCTGTTTATTTTGTTTCAGATGAGTAAGTAAAGGGATTGTTCTTGTTTTATTCTTTTTTTAGAGAAAAAAAAAAGCTATTTATGAAATGTCAAAAACACTGGACTGTGAGTTTAAGTGTGGAAGCATTTTACCACCCTGTGTCTTCGACCAATTATGGGAAACCCCTTTTCTCTTCCCCCCCGCCTTAGCCTTGCCAAATGAGAAAAAAATAGAACAGCTGTCAGATGATGCACGCCCCTGAAGCCCTGCTTTAATTTTTACGGTTCAAAAAAGTTAGAAAACCAAAGTTCAATTTGTTTCTGAAATCCCACTGTCCGTAGCCCTTTTCTGTAGGACACAGCCAGTCGGCTCTGCCTCTCCGTCTTGGATCATTGCCTTCTTCAGGACTGGGGGCCAGCTGTGATGCAAAGAGAAGCAGAAGGGCTGAGGTCTCATGAAGTAGATGTGAGTGGGACTTCAGCCTTTCAGCGGGCACCTGGGCTTCCCCAGCCTGTGGCCAGGCTGCTCGAAGGGCACACGGCTCTGCTGCCGGAGGAGGAGAGAGCCTGCCCATGCCTCTGCCCTGCGCTTCTAAGACACTTCTGTTACCATCACTCTCCAGAATGGCTTTGCCTTTCTCAGCAGCCCACATTCCGTGGACGGGCTGGGGGGAGGAAGGATCCAGTTGAAAGAAATGGGGAAGGTAGGGCAAGGGACCATCTAGCACAAGGGATCTTGTCTGCCTCATCTTTGATTCTGTGGATTGTCCATCCATCTGCTCACTGTGAAGACGGAGAGGCAGAGTGCCCTAGGGCTGTTCAATAGCTTTCCATATTTTTTCAACATTGAAAAAATAATTTTTAAAAACTGTGATTTTTTTTAAATCATTTGGCTGGAGGGAAGGGAAAAGGGAAACACCAAAAGCTGTAATATGATTAACTGGAGATATTTAACTGGGGGCACTTTCTAGACCAAGACAAACAAATTCCATTCTGGACCCTAAAGCAGCCAAATCTTGAGACTGTCAATGACAGAAAGCTGAAGAGAGGCCTCCATTTCCTCCTTTCTCCTTTCTTCTCTCTGTCTCAGAATTCTCTCTTATTCTCCTTTTCCAACTTCCCTTGGACTACTGCCCCAATGGCCCTCAGATTCCCATTTCATGTGTGTGTGTGCAGATACACACACACACACACACACACTTGCAAAATACCATTTTTCTTAAGGATTGTGGGACCGAATAAAATCATGTGCCTTCATTTTTTTCCTTTTATAGCTAGATGAACCTCTTCCTTTTTACAGTGCTTACAAAAACAGGGGAGGTTGAAGTGTTAGTGGAGGACTTGGGCATCATTTGCAAAGTACTTTTGTTTAACACATTCCCCCTAAGTATTAACACAGACATGTCAACCCCTTCGCGATGCTCTTTGGACATTTAGAGCATTACCTAGCCAGATACATGACAGCCTGAACCCATTCGACTTTAGAGCAATTCCTGACAATTCTCTTTCATACACTTCTCTCATTTTTATCACAAATGAGGTGAGCAATGGCAAGCAGCCTTGTTCTCCGGATTTGGTGCTTTCGAGTGTGGCGTGGGGTGGGCCTGGGGGTGGGGGAGTGGGCGTGTTTCAATAAAGGGTGCATTCCTATAGATCTCTGGTGCTGACGGGCCTCGAGTTCCTTCCAGAGACTGCATTTGACACACTTTAAGTACACACAAATGAATGGTATCACATGCAATATTTTAACGGAGCAATGGGAGAGGCTCTTTGAAACGGGGTTCTGCATCTTTTTGTAACATTTTGATTTCTCTGGTGCCTTATTCCTACTTGATGCTGGCACTCACATACCCACAGGGAACGGACACGGAAGTCAGCCTGGGGAGTGGGGACGCTCGGGCGATGCTCGGACATGCGGACCCTGGGGGCGGGGGGGCGTTGGGAGGTCGGTGTCAGTTGGCAGGGAAGGGACTAGATGGCATCTCTTAGCCGAAGCCAAGCAGGAACTGCACACACCCATGCGAAGTGAACAATTCCGACCTGCAGACACACCGAAAACCCATCCTTCCTCATCTGAGCTTTCCTTCCTTCTTCCTCTTTGACCTCCGCCTTCTCGTAAAGGTGCTGCTGCCGCTGCTGCTAGGTGCCCGGGGTCCAGAATGCCCAGCCATCACTCAGGCACGAGCCTGGCACTGCCACGTCAGCCCCCGGCATGACCAAACCCAGGTTTCTCTTGCTTGGGGCTGAGAACCGTCAGATTTTTCTCATCAAAAATGTTTTCCAAGGAATCAGTGGATTACAGTTATTCTGCATTGAAAATGCACTTTAAAAAATAAATAAAAGCTCCAGACTGTTTAAAATGTCCAGAGGGAGCAGGGGAAAGATAAACGTGCTAGTGTCTGAACCCAGTTCAGTTTATCTCCAGTTGCAACAATATACACTATATTATGTATAAATGTATACACACTTCCTATATATATCCATATATATATAGTGTATATATTATACATGTATAAGTGTGTATATGTGCATATACACACACGTGCACATAACAAAACCAGATGCTCATTACAAATCCAGATGCTCATTACAGATGCTACACGAACAGCAGCAGAGGAAACAAGGTTGGACTCTTGCAACAGATCACAAAAAATAAAAACAGCCACTTGCAGTGATTTTGGTTACTTCTGTATGTTCACAAGGAATGGATTGTAACAAAGAAAAAAAAGGAACAGTGTTAGCGAAAGAGGAAAAATGGGCGCAACCATCTTGATCCAATGGGAATGCAGTAATGTTCTATACCATTTCATCTGTCATTTCTTTTAGTCATGTTGATTTGATTTCAGTTTTTGGCCATTAAAAAAAGTTCTTTAGACTCAAGTGACCCACAACAAACTGAATAAAACTACAGTGAAAGCCCTTTTCGGTGGAAGATGTCAGAAATCTCAAAACCCTTGGCCTGGCTCAGAACTACCATGTGCAGATCAGTACTCTCTTAATGTTTGAAATAGAAACTGAAAAAAAAAAAAAGAAAAAAAAACCTTTTTTGAAGCACCTTAATGTGGCCATCCATTCGAGGAGTGGGTGCCACTTTTTTCTTTGAGCACCTTATTGACGTGTTTTGCTATCTGCTGTCTTTCTGTTACCTGTTGGCTGAATGGCTAGCTGTTAACACGCACATGTGCGCAGACCATTTGTCTGGCCATGTGCATTCTCAATGAAGTTTACTGTGGTGACTGCTGAAAGGTGAACCCATTTCCTGATTTTCCCGCCACAGTGTTGTGATAAGATTCAAAGAAACCCTATTCCCTGCACAGAAATGTTTCTTATCACATTGTATCTTAGTATGGAAAGGAATATGGTCCCTTTTTTGCAATTGCTACTGTACACACACACACACACACACACACGCACACACACACGCATGCATGCACATGCACATACTCATTCGTCCAAGTGGTATTTTCAACGTCCGTGTGGGTGTCACTGTTCATGCAGGATCTATTTCCCAGTGAACTTTGAACGGAGGGCAACTTTTCTAACGAGATTGTCTTTTCAGACCGAAGACCTGGGAACTGGGGAAGAGTTTGGAAAGAGGGAAAGGCAAGGAAAGAGCGAGCTTTAAACTGAAAGAATAATTTCCCAAAAGGAGCTTGGGCTCGATGACTGCAGATCTTTGCAGGTGGGCATGGAACACTGCTTGTATCAATCTGTGTACCCTATAAACCCATGTATACACAAACACACACATCCATCCATCCATCAGTATATGCGTGGTTTGGGATGAGCAGGTCAATAGTTTTGAGAGGGAGTTTGTTCCTTTTTTTTTTTTCCTCATTATACTCTTAAATTGTTGTCAGTTATCAAACAAACAAAAAATTGTTTTGAAAAACCTTGCATACGCCTTTTCTATCAAGTGCTTTAAAATATAGACTAAATACACACATCCTGCCAGTTTTTTCTTACAGTGACAGTATCCTTACCTGCCATTTAATATTAGCCTCGTATTTTTCTCACGTATATTTACCTGTGACTTGTATTTGTTATTTAAACAGGAAAAAAAAAACATTCAAAAAAAGAAAAATTAACTGTAGCGCTTCATTATACTATTATATTATTATTATTATTGTGACATTTTGGAATACTGTGAAGTTTTATCTCTTGCATATACTTTATACGGAAGTATTACGCCTTAAAAATACGAAAATAAATTTTACAAGGTTTCTGTTTTGTGTGGAAGAGTAATTGATGTTGCTAAGAATGATGTTTGTTTTTTGGGGTTTTTGTTGTTTTTTTTTAAATGTTACCAGCACTTTTTTTGTAAGTTTCACTTTCCGAGGTATTGTACAAGTTCACACTGTTTGTGAAGTTTGAATATGAAGGAATAATTAAAAAAAAAAAAACTCTTCTCTGGGTTTCCTATTGCGTCTTCTTTATATTGTGGCAGGGTTTCTTTTTCAGATGGTCCTTCACATTCTCTCATAGGTCTAGGTGGAGATTATCAAAATTGAGGATTATACCTAAAAGGCCAGAGAAATTCTCAACACATCAGTTCTCTTGAGACAAGACGTAAGAATTCCAGAATTGCTGGTATTGAAATCACTTCAGGGATACGTAAGGCAAATTTGGGCGTGTTCCTCCTACTGTCCAAAACTCACATGTGATCATGTGGTTCATTTACTGCTGTCTAAATTGATTCACTTTTTTTTTCCTACCCACTTGCAAATCAGTATCTATTTGCCTCCTGTGGAAATAACCGTGTGACGCTACGCCCTTCTACCCTTGTATGCAAGGAAAGCTCACAGCCCAAAATATGTCCCCATTTGATGACTTTGGGGACCCCCAAGAGGCTCCTATCTCCTCCAGAGTCCCTTTCTCATATGCAGCCTTACCCGTAAGAGCGCTCTAATCTCATGATCCTCACAGAAATTACTGGTGTGATGGAGAAAGCATACATCTTATTTGTCCCTAGGGCAGTTAACCCGACTGAAGTAAGTTCACCAAGTCTTCAGTAAGCACCTGTATTTCACTCAACACTGTGCAGTTTGTGAAGGGAATGAAGAAAACTACTTTAACCCTGGTAAGCCTTGAAATCTAACAACTAAGAATAAAGATTCCTATAAGATCAAGAGCTAGGTTGTTCCATTCAGACTGTCAGTGCCACGGAAGTTCATAAACTAACAGAAAGATATACAGGCAGGGTACATGAGAGAAGGGTCCAAGGAATAAGCAGTTGAGTTTGGGGACTCCCAAGGACTTGCAGGCCTTGGGTTGGAGGAGGTGAGTGTGGATGGACATTCCCACCAGGGTGAGGAACACAGATGCCTAGGCAGGGGCCTGGGATGGGGAGAGTCTTAAGGACAACTCTGGGCTGAAAGGTGACCTCTATGAATTTAAATATTGACTTCTTGCAACTCAGTTACTAAACCCCTAAGTTCTCCTAATACTCTAGGAAGTAGAAGAAAATAAAGAAAAAGCAAACATTTCACGATGCACGATTTGCCTGTGTTTGATTTTTGTGAAGCTGAACAGCATCTTGATGGATTATTTATTTTAATAATTTAAAATAACAATTTTATATGTCGGATGATGCTTTGCTGCTCACAAAGTAAGGAGGACTGCCTGCTTTGGCCTATGTTCTGAGGACACCATCCCTAGAGTGTGCAAAGTGAAGACAACTCTCCTCTCCTACCACTTTCCTACTATTTCAACTACCGCAAGATCTTCCACTATTCCACCCTCCTGGAGCAAACGAATCATCTATGAGTTAAACTTCCGTGTCTTCAGATCAACTTAATTATAAACACAAATATGAAGACTGAAGGCCATGACAATACCCTGTTTTAAAAAGTCATCAATATCCAGGATATGTTTGACTGCTTAAAAGTTTACCTCACTTAAAACACAGAAGTTTAAAATACAGAGAACTTGCAGACCCCAGGGATACATCTGCAACTCTTAGCATTCCTTCCATCCCAGTTTTTAAGAGTTTGGTAATTCCAGATGCCCGGGCTGCTCCCAACAAGGTTTGATGCCACCTCGGGGACCTCTGTGGCATCAGCAGCAGCGCCAGGCACAATAATGAGAACATTAATTCTACATGTTAGAGCTTACAAAGACTCAACCACATTTTCTCCATCTTCCCAAGAACCTTAAGAAGTAGATATTATTATAACCATTTTACAAATGAGGAAACATCTATAATGAGGATCAGGAGGTTAAGTGACTTATCCAATGTCATAAAAATAAATAGCAGCACTTAGCACTTAACCAAGTATCCTCTCCATCCACAACACATCCTAGCTACTTCTCTTTTGATCTCTGCAAAATCAATTAGACTTTTAGCACCAGAGGAAGTATTCTTCACATGGAGTCAGAATGACTGTAGTCCAGGGCAAATCCTCTTGCATAACACCTACAAGTTGCAAACCTTTTGACAACCATGACCTTGTTTACATGAACTGGATCCTTTAGCTACCTCAGATACCTTTTGGGAAGACTCCGAAATAAACAAATTCACAGCCTGCTTTTGGCCTCATGCTTTGTTTTGATCAAAGGAAGAACACAGGAGGAAAAAAAAAAAGGAAAGACACGGGAAAATAGAAGAGGACTTCCATGTTTATTCCTGGTGGTAGCCCTTACAAATGCACAGCATCTGTAGACCCATCCAGTGGCTTGTAAACATACCTCTTCTTCTGTGTTTTCTCCATATGCAAGGGAATAATTGTCTAATAATTGTCATGTCATTATTTACATTTAAGTTAATTGAAATGAAATTTAAAATTCAGTTCCTCAGTCACAGTAGCCTCATTTCAAATGCTCAATAGCCACATGTGACTAGAGGCTGCCATATTGAATAGCACAAATACAAAACATTTCTTTTTTTTTTTTTTTTAAGATTTTATTTATTTATTTGACAGAGAGAGACACAGCGAGAGAGGGAACACAAGCAGGGGGAGTGGGAGAGGGAGAAGCAGGCTTCCCGCAGAGCAGGGAGCCTGATGCGGGGCTCGATCCCAGGACCCTGGGATCATGACCTGAGCTGAAGGCAGTCGCTTAACCAACTGAGCCACCCAGGCGCCCCAATACAAAACATTTCTATCATCACAGAAAGTTCTACTGGATAGTTTTGTCCTAGACTCTACCTTCTGCAAAAAAAAAAAAAAAATCCATCAAACATCAAAGTACCTAATTCTGCTTTCCTGAAAGTCCAGGCTCTTGTACACATTAGACTCCTCTGGGCCTCTTGGCAGGTGTACCTTGGAGTGGATGTAGACGTTTACTAGTTACAGCCATGAAGCAGGACTGGGAAGAACCAGAAGATGGAACAAAACTCACACCCCACAGCTGGCAGCCACAGTCATGCTGCTGAGTCCCTCCTCTCTGTGGGTACAGTGTGCCCACCAGAATGCTGCCATGTGTATGCAGCACGCATAGCCACCCTGCCTGTCCAGCTCAGCACTGATGGAATCTGTATGAACCTGAATGCGTGATGATGCATCTCCAAGGGCTCGCAGGTGAGAAGGAACAAGTCGTGAAATAAAACTGCACAGGAAAACCCTGTCTACTCATGAAGATCATCTTTCTCAAAGCTCCATGACTCAAAATTTCTCATATTTGTTCAGGGTAATTCTCTGGATTATAGATCAGACTCTATATGCTCAGGCTTAGAATGTGGAGCAATAGAGGGTGGGGAATCAGTACATTTATTCCTCTCCAAGCTCTCATTCATTAATTCATTTATTCTCCCCTTCTCCTATCATGAAATCCAAGAGGGGATCCAAGAGAGTTTAGGATCACTCCCTGTGTGCACTTAATAATCTCCCACCTCCATCTCCCCTGTAATCCTTTCCTATGTGTTTTTCAAAAGACACAGTAAGAGAGAAAAGCCTTCTCAAACCCTATTTTGAATCAGAGAAAAAGAGAAAGACCACCAGTCAGAGATAGACACCCCCCTGCCCCCGGTGCCAGCTTGGCTTGGGTTTAGGGTCTAATGATGCATGGTCCAAGAAAAATGTAATGGGAGCCACATACACAATTTTAGATTTTTTCCAGTAGCCATATTAAGAAAGTAAAAAGAAATTAATTTTAATAACATTTTATTGAACCCAATATATCCCAAATAACATCATTTCAACATGTAATCGATATTTTTAAATTACTAACGTGATAGTTTATGTTCTTATTATTCACAATAAACCTTCAAAATCTGCAGTGTATGTTACACGTGTAGCACCCTACATCTTAGTTCAGACTAACCACATCTCACACACTAGACGGCTACCCATGGAGAATGGCTGGACAGGACATGTCTCCAGGAACCTGGCTTTTAGGGGACTGTCTCTTCTGGTTTTCCATGGAAAAGCCAGTTTGGTGAATTCCACTTTAAAATTTATTTTCTGTCTAATTCAATCTCATTTTAGTAACCTGACCCATTTATCACATCTGTGGGTCCTTTTGTACTTTTATCACCATCCAAATGGTATTTGTAGATATTTCCAGTTACTATAATCATGTTAAATAACACTGTAACTCTCAGTCTAGCCTTGACCCAATAGACATCTCCTCCCAATCAAACTGCCACTCCCTTTTTGTCATTACATTTTAGTTCATCTCCAATCCATGAATTGTATTCTACTCGCAAGCAGTTTGCACTAGTTCTGCAAGAAGAGTGTGGTGAACTGCTGTGGTCCCTAACAGCACTTTACACGCGTCCATCTGTCTTCCAAAGGACTTAGCTCTTGGGACAGATTTCAGCTCATTGCTCCTAACCACATACCTATTTGGTAGAGAAGTGAGAAAAATAAAAATAAAAATCCAAGGAGTAGGAGTTGAAATGTCTTCTTGCTCAGCCTGCCTAATTCTTAGGGAGCAGAGCAGTGCTTGATTCCAGCCATTGGCAAACGACAGCCTTGCTTCACATTCTCACTCAGTTCCTCTGCCCGGAAAAGAAAACCTGTCACCTGTGAGCCCAGCCTCCCTCCTCACTCCTATAGGAGAGGTGGTGGTGGGATAAAGACCTGAATGCCAGTTAAATGGAAACCAGCGCTTAGATGCCACCCAAACCCCAGCACGAAGAGCTCAGGGGATGGATTTAAGGGTTCAGAGCAGCTAAGGAGAGGGCATTCATCTTTAAACACTTGATCACCCTCTTCCCCGCCTCCCACCCCCGGAAAAGTCCCTATTTTAAAATCCAGGTATTCCTTTTGGTGGGACACAGATTCTTTCCTCACGGGCTCAATGGTGGATTGATAGAGAAAAGGTGGGTCCTGGCCAGGGGCTAGGATGCAGCTCCCACGGCAGATGCCACACTCCCGCGCACGTCCCCAGCAGGCATCTGGAAGGCCTCGGGTCCCCTGCAGCCAGCCATCCCTGGACTCCAAGCACACCCAACAGAAGGAGAATTGAA